TGAATGGTGCACCTCTCTTTAACATGTTAGACTGGGCTGACACGTCACACAGTGGCTCTGTTCAGTCATAACCATTTTAGAGATCATTGCCAGTCAAATGGTTCTTGTTTTTGGTTCAAATTTGGAAATCATCTCATCAGTTTAACTCATTAATGTATTGAAATATCAGCTTTACCCCATTATCTAGGCTTGGGACAGTAAATTACATAGGTGGCTGACTGTCAAAATGTAAATAAATGGGTAAGGAATTGATATAAATACATACACATATATTTGTAATTCATACCAAGAATAAGATATATTAGTATGTTGCAAAATTTTAAGTCAAAAATGTTCAACAAGAGAGTGCCTAAAATGCAACCTTGAGGAGTGCACATACTTTGCAATGAACAAGCATTTTAGTCCATTTAATCAGTGTGATGATGTCAAATTGTGAGTGTTTATTTGGTGAACTTAAAAGTGTACAGATTGTGGGACTGAATTACAGATGTATGTTTTTTGAGTTTCTTTTACTGAGATGCAGATGTGAGTCCGTTGCTTACCCAGTTTTGTTCTAATTAGTGTCTCATAATAAGGGGTTGTATTGCTGTGTTGATGAAGTAGGTAACTGATTATTCAAGTCTCTGCTCTGCGACAGGCTCTTAAGATGGAGTGCTCTTATTGTTAGCATGCTAATTTAATGTGGATATGCTACATTTTTCAGTGAATCCATGCAATTCAGTTTCAATTCAGTTTTTTTCTTTAATCTTTCTTCAGTCGTGTTGAGAAAATGCTATAAAAACATGTTATAGTAAAAGGTAACATATTTCAAATGCTTCCAGCTAAAGCGAGAAGAAAATAATGTATTTGCAATAAGAGTTTCTGTCGTAAAAGCCGTCTTACTTATATTTAATGTGTTTACTCCTACCACAGTTACATTAAGAATAAAGGGATTGTACTCCCGGTAGCAGAGGTCATAAAGTGTAATCCTCTAATGACAGTGGGGCTCGGATAAGCTCACATTTTACTTTGAGGAGGAGGTGGCTACAGCAGATCCTGTTAGCTTCAATTTGCTTACTGCTGCTGAGGCGGCAGACTGAACTGAATGATAAGGACCAGGATGAAGCCTAATCTTTCTATTCCCCCCCTCTTTGCATCTTTATCTCAGACTAACCACCACAGTTGATCTGCTATCGCCCTGAGCTCTATAAGGAAGCTAATAAATGTGCTTATGGGTAAATCAGTGTACATTTTAGTCTAACAATCACAGTTTTTCTCAAAGGCTCAATATGGTGTGCAACCTCCGACTTTCACTTATTTTATCATTTTTGCCATTTCCAAAAGGTGGCCCCTCTTTGGTCTGGTTGACATTATGTGGCAAAGCTGAGATGACAATCGGAGCGACACAATCTCTGCCTCCCACAAACTGCCTGAGATTGGAGTCGTGCTGATGTTTTTGCTCACACAATCTGACTGCAGTTACCAGTACAGCAGCAGCTATTTAGGAGACTTTGGGAACAGGCTTTAATGCGGCAAGTCTTTTACATTTGAACACTGAGCTAATGATAAATAAAGTGCCTCTGCCTAATAGTCTCGTCACTTTATTGTCACCTTGAATAAGAAAACTTTGGAAGCTAAATTCTTGTGAGTTTTGAAAAAAAAAAAAAACTTCCTTTGTTTATTGTTCTTCATTTGAGCGTGGCTGTTTCATGAGCATCAGCAGCATTTGAGAGGGCTCAAAGCAGAACCTTCGTCTGAACCGGGAACACTGCAGGAGCGGAGCAGAGGGAGGCAGACGACCCAGATACCCACCTACAATTCTGTGTGTGTGTGTGTTTGTGGGCACGTGTATGTGTGTGTGCAGGAAGAAGAGACCGCATAATGTATCAGAAGAGAAGGCTGTTTATATGCACACATCTCAAAAGAGACTTCATATGTAGGCCTATTAGGACAGACTTTGACCCAAATCTATCTGTTCTTACTAACATCATTATGCATGCCATCAACAATGTTGATTGTTGCTGCTGAAGGGAATAATAACCCACACCTTCATATTCATTATATTTATTCCATTCTGGTAGATCCACAGGCTAAGGAGTAAAAAAAAATAAAATAAAAAAATCTGATTAAGATTGCCCACACACCTAAAAATGGAAAAATCAGTCCTTAGCACAGAGACTTGTGGTGCTGATGAAGCAGAGACTTTCAGAGTTGTGGAGAGGACCAGTGCAGGGTTAGAGCAGATGGTTGTCTGTTTGGTGAGGAGAGCACCGCCATTCTACTGCCCTCCTCTCTGACCCATGTGTTCCTTGCTCTGTGCGGAGGAGCGGCTCAAGGCTGAGGCTTTTTATTATGGAGCGAGTCCTTGGAACAGAGCCCCAGTGGAAGCAGATGAGCTCAACTCTGTCAGAGGGCAGAACTATTATTCTGACAGAATGGAGTAAAAAGATCTTTTAATACATAAATAGGATTTGAGTAACACATATCAACACAAAACAACTAATATGTTTATTTTTATGTTTATGGTTATTATCATTATCCCTTCCCAATTTTTTTTTAGTGGAAATAATGGATTTTTAACAATGTTTAGCGATTGCCACATACAATCCCTCTTTACACTCCCATGAAATGATGCAGATGATGATGACATGTAGCCTACTACAATCATTCCAGATCTACTTTTTTTGTAGAAATTTTATTTTAATTATACATGCTTTGGTAAAATGTAATAAGTTATTGCGGTTTGTGAGTGAGGATCTGTGCTCTTATTGTAAAGACCTATTGGAAAATAACTCTTTAAATTATGAACGTGCAATTCCCAAATAACCTAATGTCTGAAGAGTGGTGTGTAGGGCAACAGCAGTGATCTCATAGTCTCCAGAACAAAACTGAAATTTAACACAAATGTCATGATCCACTTGGAGTATATGCCATCATGTAAAACACTTCTCTTTGAATGTGGGGCACAGAAGAGTCTGGTCTGTGGAGAGGAGCAAACTACTTCAACAAAACACAACGAGGTATAATATGTTTGTGTTGAGACCGGTCCTAAACCTTCTAATGTCCTAAACCAATAGCAATTAAAATATCTCAAAAAAAAAAAAAAAGTTATAATGTATTTATTATTATCTCTAATAGGATTATATTTTCTGTTATTGTTTTGGGGGGTGTTTGGTTAGTACATTTGAGGACTGGAAATTCAACAGATTTAAATTGTATCCACAGTAGGCCTAAGTTAAGAGTCATTCAGACAACAAGAGCTTCAAGTTAATGTTTGTAAATTGAAATGTTTGATTATTATTAAAAGTTCAAAGTGAACACCTTTTAATACAAAATGCTATTAAACTGATATTTCACATCTTGGGTCTAAAGATAAAGAATACATTTCGTTCTTGAATATGTAGAATATATTCTGATGCGTGTAATCATAATAACATTTAATAAATATCATCCTGCCTTTGTACCTGAATAGTGTTCAGAGCCAGTGTTAAAAAGCGAATAAAACATTGTCTGACTTTTCAGTGAAGGTTAATTATTCAAGCTTCCTTCTTCACACAACAAGCGGAGAACAGCAGGGATCATGGGGCGCGGCAGCTTTTCTTTATTCCCTCAGAGAGTGTGGTTGGAAGTTTAAAAACACTGTTGGATATATTTGAAATGCATACATTGAAACCGGGACTCTGCCTTAAGCTGTAACAGTAGAACACTGACAGGCAATCAGTGGTCCAGTCAGCAAGAACACATCTTTTCTTTACAGCGATTATATCTTGGTCTTTGCAGTATTATTATTAAGCTGTGACTCATGTATGTAATATTCCATATCCTCTGCCACAAGACATAACCACTCCCACATGTAAGTAGCAGCTCTAAATCTGGATACTAGAATTCCAGCTTTGAACCTTTGGGTTAATCAAAGGAGAATGATGCAGTATGTTGTTACAAATATTTGAAAGACTATACAACTATAATATTTGATTTTTGATTATATTTTGCCCAACCAGTCCACATGTGCTTTGTAGATCTGGAGAAGGCATTCGACCGTGTCCCTCGTGGTGTTCTGTGGGGGGTGCTCTGGGAGTATGGGGTTCGGGGCCCTTTGCTAAGGGCTGTCCGGTCCCTGTATGACCGGAGCAGGAGCTGTGTTCGCATTGCCGGCAGTAAGTCAGACCTGTTCCCGGTGCATGTTGGACTCTGCCAGGGCTGCCCTTTGTCACTGGTTCTGTTCATTGTATTTATGGACAGAATTTCTAGGTGCAGTCAGGGGCCGGAGGGGGTCCGGTTTGGGGACCACAGGATCTCATCTCTGGAGGGACTATGTCTCTCGGCTGGCCTGGGAACACCTCGGGGTTCCTCCGGAGGAGCTGGAGGACGTGTCTGAGGCGAAGGAAGTTTGGGAGTCCCTGGTTAGACTGCTACCCCCGCGATCCGGCCCCGGATAAGCGGAAGAAAATGGATGGATTATATTTTAGTTTTAACCATTAAACCAAGTAAAAAAATATCTCCAATTTTAATTATCCATTAGGCACTTCACGGTGTCCATAAACACAATGAACTTGTAAACCATTGTAAACCAGTGTCCCGTTCAGCTTTGGTTTCTATTTTGTGTGACTTCTGCTGTTTTGAGAATATTTCAAAAACACAATTTACCACAGGTGAATCAGTTGAAAGGTCTCCTGTGTGTATTCTTTTGAGTAGAAGTTTCTGTACAGAGTGAACAGTTGTAAGCTCTCTGCCCAGTTCTAACATAAAGTCTGTCTCCTGTTTGTGTTTTTCATGCTATTTGATGCATCTGAATTTTTCTTCTACTGCACCCAGGATCAACTGGTCCTTTCATCTTCTCTCTCTGTAGTTCCTCCATATTATAAGCTATCCAGTTTATGAGGACATTTCTCACATACAGAGCACCCACAAACACTGATCTACCACTTCTCTCTTTTTTTTCCACCTCATAACATTGTAATATTTAGAATTAGTTGCGAATTTACTACGCCCATTACGGTAATGTTGCATCAGAAGCAGTACATCCGGGTACGTCATCACTCGCCGTCACCCGGCACTTTGACAGTCTTCGCCACATTTGGGTCCAGTTTTATAAAAGTTGACTGTGCATCTCGGGTTTTTTGGACAATATTATGGCCGAAGAGGCAGTCGCCGAGAAAATGAGTGAATTGCAAGTTAACGAAGGCAAAAAGGTGATCATGTTTTTCTATTTGAACTCCTATCGCATGTTAGCTGCTAACTATAGCTCAACTTACATTCATGTCAACGAGTCAGCGAGCACGCTTTAGATATCTATAGCATGTTTAAAAATCTATAGCATGTTTAAAAATCTATAGCAAGTTTATATATCTATAGCATGCTTTTCATGATTGTGACCGTCTCTACAATGAATTGATACACATATTTAATTACTTTACTTAACGCTTTTTTTTTTTTTTTTTTTTAAGTTAAGTGAAATAAAAAAAATAAGTTTATTGTTCAGCATAATTGGTGTCTAATGTGTTGTACTATAACAATGGCATTTACAATTTTAACAGGGAGGAGCCGAAAGCAAAAAGAAGACCAAAGGAGCAGCGGGAGAGACTGCAGGAAGAGCCGAGGTGTGTACAGATATTTTTAGGTCACTAGGAAGCATCCAGTTTTACCAGTACCTTTAATATGTTGTGGAGCTTCTTTTGTTTATGTTAACACTTCACAAAACCATGTCCAGGACTCAGATTCCTTCCTGTACATTAGATACCATTTGAGATGATGAGATAGTGTTAAAAATCTGAATTTATAGTGTCTTTCTTTCTTTATTTCAGCTCTCACCACCTCCTGAATACATTGAAGAGCGACTTTCGTTATATGCAAAGTTGAAAGCAGAGCATGATGCCCTGATCGCACAGCGGGCTTCAAATGAGAGCAAACCTATAAAGGTGACCCTGCCGGATGGAAAGGTGGTTGATGCTGAATCCTGGAAAACCACTCCGTACCAGATTGCATCTGGTATCAGGTATTTTTTACCAATAACCAGTCATGTGTATATGACTACAGTACTTATGTTGGCAATCTTCTGTAATTTGATGTTCTATTTATGCCTGTTCAGTCAAGGTCTTGCTGACAACACAGTGATTGCCAAAGTAAACAACGGTGTGTGGGACCTGGATAGACCTTTAGAAGAAGACTGTACCCTACAGTTGCTCAAGTTTGATGATGATGAGGCTCAAGCTGTAAGTCTAGTTATTAAACATTTGAATTGGCCAAGATCTCCATGATAAATACAAATAGTTGTATTAGATCAAGCTCTTGCCTTTGGTTGGAGTGTTAATCTGAATTTACTTCAAGGAAAGGACACCAAATCTAACATCACACCCGCCTTATTTAATCTTACTGTCACATTATTGATGCAGGCTTTTCTGTGGCTGCAAGGTCATAGTGATGAATTTGAGGCACGTAATCAATATAAAGCTGAAAGCTGTGATTGAATATGTAGCGTCATTAGAAGAGCAAGGAACACATCAATATGATTTAATTTGCTCTAAAATGTGCTTAAAAGTTTTCCCCCTAAAAACAAATTAATATATTTGGAGTCACATTTAACTATAGTAGTAGACATTTTTTTTACAGCTGTCTTATTGTTTTAGGTTTACTGGCATTCTAGTGCTCACATTTTGGGAGAAGCTATGGAGAGAGTGTATGGTGGCTGTCTCTGCTATGGACCTCCTATTGAGAATGGCTTCTACTATGACATGTTCCTGGATAACAACGAGTAAGTAATGATTTGCCAAAGAGCAATCCAGTGTAATTACAGTAATTATATCGTATTACATTGTTTATTTAAGATTCAGTAACAGTGGAGTAATGCTGTTGTCATTTTTTCTTAACTGGTATGGAGAGTGTACAGTCTGATCTTGAGCTGGCCTGCGCTTAATTTGTCTCTGTAGTGTATGCATATTGTCTGTATGGGAAAAAAGAAAAAAATATCAATATATTATTGTGGACAAAAACATAAACAGTTGATTAGAGAATAATTTAATAATGGTTTTAATGAACACAAATTGTGAACAGATACAGCACCACATTAAATCTTTTGAGTATGAATTTACACCTTTTAAAACTTTTCTTATAAAAATCTGTTCCCTTGACCTTTTCCTGAAATGGATGGATTCTCCAGTCTTCAGGTTGCAGGAAAGCTCACACTGTGCTGTCTAATTAATTCTATAACCTCTGTAATGAAGCCTTTTTATGCAAATCACGATTGTGGAGAATGCGTTTTGCAAGGATATTTCGACATTGCAGTTGTAGCTCTAAAGCCAAGGACTTTGTGACCATAAAATACAATGCAGTGGTTGTGCTCAATGATTTCACAGCTCTTTAAACTTGATGAATCACAAAGTTTCATGACATTACATTGACATTACAACATGACACAAAAACATGCGTTTTACAAAATGTTACAAATAGTCTCTCACTGTTCTGTACAGAGGAGTATCAAGCAATGACTTCCCTGGCTTGGAGAACTTGTGCAAAAAAATCATCAAAGAGAAGCAGCCATTTGAGCGACTGGAGATTAAGAAGGAGACCTTACTCGAAATGTTTAAGGTATCTACAAATCACAAAATCACAATACCCACATCAGATTGGTACTAAACCATGTTTGTTTTGACAGTACAATAAGTTCAAGTGCCGCATCCTGAACGAGAAGGTTACCACACCTACTACTACTGTGTACAGGTGATGAATGAGTTCTGACTATTTTTTAAAACATTTTTTAAAGGTGCATTGCATGGACATGTTATCGCTTTCTCTGGAATGTTCCATGGTATGGCATTAAACATCCATCTAGTATTTATTCATGATGTGTGTTTCTATTGCTCAGAAATACTTCTTCAAAAATTTCTTCTGTGAATAAGGCGACTCTCCACAGATCCGAATTGTAATGTAGCGTAGTGCTGTAACCTGCTTGTGTCCCTTGTGGTAGGTTTAATCTATACTGTGGAACACTCTGCACAAAACAGTAATATTTCCATGGAGACAAGCAGGTAGTGAACCCTCCATCAGAAAAGCTGCACAATGCACTTTTAAATAATGTATTTATTATCAGTTTTAAATGTTATTAAGCTGACAAGAAGTGCCTTTTGTCATTGTAGGTGTGGCCCTTTGATTGACTTGTGCAGAGGGCCCCATGTTAGACACACTGGAAAAATTAAGGCCCTCAAGATCCACAAGGTAGCCATACTTACTATATTCTTATTGTGGCTCTTTTTGACTGATGGTTGTTGAAATCAGTTTATACTCTGTGCCCTGGATGTGTAAAAATCTTGTTCCTATTTCCAGTCCGTTTACCTTACACTACAATCCCACGGGAGTGGGAAAAAGTGATGAAAAAGCAAATGTGTTTTTTTCCCTCTGGTATGCTAGAATTCATCTACATACTGGGAAGGAAAGGCGGACATGGAAACTCTCCAGAGGATCTATGGCATCTCGTTCCCCGACCCCAAAATGCTCAAAGAGTGGGAGAAGTTCCAGGAGGAAGCCAAGAACAGAGACCACCGCAAACTGGGCCGAGTAGGTACCCCTGTGTGGAATGAAGGGAGGGAAGAGAGAGAGAGGGCCTTATAATGAGGTAAGGTCATTCAGCGTTAAATAAAAAGATGCTGTTGTGTCCCCAAAGTAGGCTAAAACAAAGTGTAGGTCCCTGGCGTAAATTCTGTTGTTCTAGGTCAAATTGTCTTGGATATTTTTGTTCACTATGTACTGGTCTTATGGGGCATTGGTGTGGTCCTTGGGAAAATGTTTTGCCATATTCAAAAATGCACATGAATGCTCGTACAAGAACTCAGGAACAGTGGTTTTAAAACCTGTTGCCTGACTTCAGCTCTTGACGTCATCTGCTGTGTGGAGACTACAGAAAATCAGTTGATGTATGAGCTTAATGACTAAACAATACTACATTTAAGGGGGGATGGCTATATCATTAGAGCCACAGATTTACTCGATAAAGGTTAGATGTTACAGTTTACTTTATTTAAAAATAAAATGACAATTGATATTTTCTAAACCAGTAACTTCTATCTTCTATATAAAATGAGACCTCAAAATCTTGACCTTCTGAGTAAAAAAGTACATGAACACAATGCATTATAAATAAAAACATTAAAAAAAGAAATATATATATATATGTATATGTATATATGTGTATATGTATATATGTATATATGTGTATATATGTGTATATATATGTATATATATATATATGTGTGTATATATACATATACACATATATACATATACACATATATATATATGTGTATATATATATGTATATGTATATGAATTAACATACAAAACTATAATATACTATTAAAGACCTCCATAAAATCTGTATATGTTTGCCCATTTAAATCAGTTGATTACAGATTTGTAGGCTACATTGGTTCACATTAGATATTTTATGGTTAAAGCAACCACATTGTTCCAGTAAATGAAATTTGAATAATATTAGCAATAATCCAAACTAATCTTGCTTTGCCAAGGATTTTAAATTTAGGGTGTGTGTACCTTCTCCATTGACACAATTAAAGGTGTGGCACTGTATCCTGGTTTTAATGTAGCATTAATAACATTGCATTTTAAACTTGTCTGGGAAGTTGCCACCACAGGAAATAACTTATTGTGTATTTATTTTATTCTGTAGGAGCAGGATCTGTTCTTCTTCCATGACCTGAGCCCTGGCAGCTGCTTTTTCCTGCCTAAAGGCGCCTACATCTACAACACCCTGGTTGAGTTCATTCGAGTGAGTGTGCACATCGCTCTGAAAAGACTAAATGAAATCAGAATTTTAAATTGGCTTCTTGGTGACTCCACTGTACAAAATAATATTGCCATTATTATTTAAAACACTGGAGGCTTTTTGTTAATTTAAAAAAAATAAAATAAAATTCTGAAATTCTAGCATGATTGTCAAAAAATAATTGTATCTATACTTATCAATACAATAGACTAATTCACCTCAGAAATGAGTCACACTGATTTAAAACCAAAAACACAAGAAATTATTGGACTAATATGTTAAAATGAGTTTGTAAAAAAAAGTGCAGTGCAGTCGTTTAATCAACTCTATTTTGTCACAATGATTACCTGTGTAGCAAAATCTAAAATCCCTTTGATTTTGCCACAGTGCCAAAAATATTATAATTATACTTTGTGGACTTTTCAGAGAAGTTTCGGGTTACAGGTATCTGGTGTTCTTTTTCTGGCTTTAGAGTGAATACAGAAAAAGGGGTTTCCAGGAGGTGGTGACCCCAAATATCTACAACAGCAAACTGTGGCAGACCTCTGGGCACTGGCAGCACTACAGCGAGAACATGTTCTCCTTCGAGGTGGAAAAGGAGACGTTCGCTCTAAAACCAATGAACTGCCCTGGACACTGGTGAGCTATGAGACCATACAGTATATAGCAAAGACAATCCTTATTTGTTTTTGAATAGAATTTTTGGGGGTAAATGTGTCACTTATTACCTGTACTAATTCAAAAGCATTATTTTAGAACTAAATTAAGTTACTTCTATAGATTTGATCATACAACAAGCAAAAAGTACCAATACCGATTTATTGCTGAAACTGTGAGGTTAAAAAATGTATTTTGGGTTCACCGTAGTCTCCACAATTAATGGGAAACACTGCTGTACATGTTATTGGTTTGAAAATGAAATCACTAAATGTATGTGACAAGAGACAGATGTTCAGTTTTGAGGTAGATTGGGTCAGGAATCAGTTGTTTTGGTAGCAAGTGGGCACAATTTCTTCAATTTTAATGCCTTACTTTGGAACATAGGTATAGGAATATCATCACCATGGATACAAACACGTACCAACAGTTATATTGTGTGCCTTTTAACTTTTTGAAAGTGTAGTCCCTAATGTCAATACAGGGCAGGCTAATATCTGCCTCTTATCACATATTGATATTCAAAGTTATTCCAGCCCTCTGGCCAGAAGTTGACAGTTTTTCATTTCCTCTGCATGCTGCAGCCTGATGTTTGACCACCGGCCGCGCTCCTGGAGAGAGCTGCCTCTGCGCATGGCTGATTTCGGCGTGCTGCACAGGAACGAGCTGTCGGGGGCGCTGACGGGCCTCACCAGAGTGCGTCGATTCCAGCAGGACGACGCACACATCTTCTGCTCCATGGACCAGGTTAAAGAGCAGGCTCATGAACTGGCATTACTTACCCGCACAGCTAGTCCTGTTTTCAAGTGTCAGACTGTGAATTTAACCCAAGCTTTTATTTTGTTTGATATTGTAGCAAAATAAAATTAAGTTAATTTAAGTAGTAAATAGCATAAAATCAAATGTCAGTCATCTAAAAAGAAATGCTAACCATGCAGTTTGACCTTTTAATGTCCTGAAATACTGTTCATCCCTATTGATGTTGAATCCATGTGCATATGAATCAATATAACAGTAAGAGCCAGGTTATTATAGTTTATTATAAGGGCCAACAACTAAGCTCTCACACCCACTTGTTTGCAGAGAAATAATAGGTTTTCTCAGTTGTTTTGCTGTAATGGGAGATGCATTGAATCTAGTGGTTGTTATACAGTATACTTTGTACTAGACTCACTGCAGCAAACCCACTGACTGACCCTGTCCAAGGCCACAGTAGGTGCTGGGATCATTTTAACCCCTTGTAACTAGACAAATTAGAATAGAGTTTTCGAAGTGCATTTTAGATGGTGAATTTTATTTGCTAAATTTTATTACACTGTGGAAGTCTGTCATTACTGGCCGCACATTCTGCCAACAGGAAGCACTGCTCAAATGGATCTACATTTGGATGATATTTTTGTAATTAATTTGTTGCAAAGCAACATCTCACAGTGTCCAAATAATTTTAGTGCTTCTTTTGTCATTAACAGCAGTAGATTACATATTCAAATATCTGTTAAACTTTTGACGTTTCCCCTTTTGAGACCTCTTTTCTACTTATGTTGTTTTGAAGTGCTAGTAATGAAAGAAACAACTGACATCTTCTTTTATGTAATTGTCTTTTTTAATTCAATGTTAGGGAGTTATTTAGCAGTGCGCACCAACAGGATTTCTTTAACATTTGGGTCTCTCTGCAGATTGAGGATGAGATCAAAGGCTGCCTGGACTTCCTGAGGACGGTTTATGACGTGTTTGGCTTCACTTTCAAACTCAATCTTTCTACGCGGCCAGAGAAGTTCCTGGGAGAGCCACAAATCTGGGACCAAGCAGAAAAGGTAATGATGGATGAGAATGCTCCGTGGTGAGGTGATCAGATTGGAAATGCAGGAGGGAGTCTGCAGGCACGGACAGGCAGCAAATGGGGAGCATGTGATTTGAAGGCACAAAGGGCGTTTAGATTGTAATGAACAAGTCTCATTCGGCTCCTTTTTCTGAGGCTGAAATTGGTCCCCTGTCCTCTGAGAGTCTGCATCAGAGTTATTAGTGTCTGCTTTGGCTGTCAAACAGAACAGTTCTCAAAGCACCAGCTCCAATTTTATTGTTATTCTGTTATATTGTGTGCAAGATCTGAGCGGCTTTGAAATAGCACATAATATTTAGAATGAATTTAAACAAAGTAATGATGCAGGTAACAAAATTATACTGAACAAAAGGCAGTCTTTATTGCTTTTGCCCCCAGCCTTAAATATAATAGCAACGGTCTCATGAGTAAAACTAATGAATGGAGGGGCAGAACAGTAATGGATGAAATAAAAGCTAAATAATGATGTACATTTGTTCTGTGCTTTATAAGCCTCTCAGAGCTGTACACTGTAGTAGGGATGCAATAATAAGCAATATTGTTTATTTTGACGAGAAGGGTACACAATAATTGTTTGTTGGACATTTTATATAATAATTATAATCGCCTACATAGATGGAGATCGCCATTTTATCACCTGAATGTTCAGGAAAAAATTACTTATCCATGATGACATCTTCTAGGTCATTGTTGTTTTCACTTGTAACAAAATACAGTACTGTCATAGTTGTGGAGTTTATTCATAATATTTTTAAAATTATAATTATTAATATCCATAACATTTTTAAACTGTCAGCAACTTGGAATAATTATTGTGATATAATCATGAATCGCAGTTATTGTGGCCATGATAATCATATCACCAAATTTCAGTATCATCCCTTTCCTACAGTGTAGTCAGTATTCGTGGTTGAAATCTTGTGTAGCCATAGCTGCCCAGAGGTCGACTGACAGAAACAAGGCTGCCAATCTGCACTGTATGCCCCTTTAATACATGACTCACACACCACATTTGTACTTAGAAGGGTGAAGTGTCTTGAAAGTGGATGAATCACACAATCACAATATGCAGTGATTGGAACAAATGTTTACCAATAAACTTCTGCCACAACATATTAACCTTTTTTTGGAAAAAGCTAAAATCTAAACTTGTAATATTCACTGATCACAACACCCGTGGCAGTGGCTCAGGTGGTAGGGCTGTCATCTTTTAACCAGATCTATTTTTCTCGGCCAGACCTGAAATAACTTTTGTGCCTGTAAGAATTCAGCTGCAGTGGTGACGAATCAGTGATGAATGTTTGCTTCAACAAAAGTGCCAATTTAGACTCACAAAAATAAACTGTAAATTTCAAACACTTGGCAGATTGGAATGTGTTGCTTGATTCCATCACCTCATTAACTCTCAAAAATCCAGAAAGTATTATTGAAATTCACACTTGACTATTTGATGACTGAAGATGGTAATTATAGGGAGGTCTAATAATTAAATGACATCACATAAATTTAACATTACACAAAATATTACTCAAAATAGATTCTTGTGAGGTTTAAACCATGTTATAATGTTGTTACATCCACAAGAAAATACCTGAAGAACATACTCTTAGTTTTAATGTGCAGAGTTTGTGTGTTAAACATATATGAATGAAACAAAGCACAACTACATGTATGTTTTTGATGAGGAGCAACATTATAACATTGATCATAAAATAGCATAATATAGACCCTTTAATATTTACCAATGTATTCTCTGATTTTTAGCAACTTGAAAACAGCCTGAATGAGTTTGGTGAAAAATGGGTGCTCAACCCTGGTGATGGAGCATTCTATGGACCAAAGGTAAGTGATAAACTGCACACAGACTTTATTTAAACAGCAAGGCTCAAGAATGTTGCCCTTTCTTTGTAGATTGACATTCAGATCAAGGATGCTATCGGACGATACCATCAGTGTGCTACTATTCAGCTGGATTTCCAACTGCCAATCCGCTTCAATCTCACCTTCGTCAGGTTTGTCTGCGAAAAATGTTTGAGTGCTTGGACAAATTGTGATGCCAGACCTAAATGTGTGTGTTTGTGTGGTAGTCATGACGGAGATGACAAGAAGAGGCCCGTGATCATCCATAGAGCCATCCTGGGGTCAGTGGAGAGGATGATCGCCATTCTGACTGAAAACTACGGAGGCAAATGGTGTGTGACTCTACAATTGCCTGGCCAGCCATTAGGCCGGTCACGATAACAAATCTTGAAGTTTGATATATTGCTGAAGTAAATATAAACTATAAATGGGAATATTGAATCTAAATTATGACACTGACACAATAACCCAAGAGCAGATTCATATCACAAAAACTATTTTAAAACCGCAATCTGAAATCAGGGAGACAGGATACGGCGCCAGATCCACTCGTTTTTGTAAAGTTTTGTCAAAGTGTGTGGTTCTGGCTGGCCAGGAAAGCTCTACAGTGATTCAGGCCTGATAATAGTTTCCAGATCAGACCCAAAGTGCTGCAGTTGTGTGGGGGAGTAAATATTAGCACAGGTCACATGCTCTAAATACAGCCCTGCTCTGTTTCAGGCCGCTGTGGCTCTCTCCTCGCCAAGTGATGCTGGTGCCAGTGGGACCAACCTGTGAAGAGTACGCCCAGAAGGTACGTGGCCCAACTGCTGTTTATTTTCTGCTCTTTATCACTGCTCCTCGCTACCACAGACTGTTCTATATTATTCAGTACACGGGCTAAAATACTAGGTAGTTACTACTTAATTAAACTAGGGAAGATGCACCATGTTTTTGTGCACATTGCAATATGACCACTGAATTAAAGGGCCCATATTACACTATTTTCTGAGCTCTGTTATTATGTGTTTCCTCATCAAACATATCTGGAGTTGTGTTATTACATTCACACATGTTTACCACACAGACTCTGCATATTTAGAGTTTAGAAAACACTGCTCCACATTGTGATGTTATGTAGTAATATAGGAAGTACTCCAACTTTTTTTAAACTCCGTACACGTTCACTAGAATCATTTGGATGATTTCAACTTTGGAATTGCCAATCTCCACAAAATGATGCAGACAGATTAATAATAATGGGATACTCAAACGTGTGAAAGAAACTAAACACAACTCCTCGGTATGTTTTTGAGGAAGTAACAACATAATAACATGGCTTCAAGCTCACAAGCGTCAGTTTTGCGTAATACAGGACTGCAAAATATCTTTACTGTGCTGTGTCCTGTAATGGATGGAATTTATTAAGTTAAGCAGCAAGTGAACTTATCCTCAGGCATCCATGAGAAATTAAGCAAGTTTGACAATCTCTAAATTTGCCAAAAAGTAGATCCGAGCGCTGGCTTCTGTGCACATGTAGAATGAATGCTGGCTTGTATCTGTGTATTAATGAAATCAGCCACCATAGCTGAAATCTGCTGAGAAAGTACCCCAATTCTTACAGATGGACTACATAAAAGTTTGACTACAAAATTGTGCATTAGGCAGTTGGTAAAAACATGTTCTCAAACTGTAGTACATGGCTTTGGCACTTAATTTAGTTTGAATTTATTGCAGATCTGCTTTAAACAGCCAAATAAACTAATCATCTTATCTAAGCTATTCTGTCCTAAATCTCAAAGGTTGTGCATTATCTGTTTGATGCTCTAGGTCCGACAGGAGTTCCACAATGCAGGCTTCATGAGTGATGTCGACCTGGATCCTGGCTGCACTCTGAACAAGAAGATCAGGAACGCACAGCTGGCTCAGTACAACTTCATCCTGGGTCAGTACTAGAGCTGGAAATCATAGGGTTCTTCGCTATTTAATCATTTTGTTTTAATCATTAAAACAAAAATATGTCAAGTGGATTACATAAACAAGTTTCCTTCTACTAAGTTAACAACAAAAGTGTAGTGCAGTCACCAAAAAAATTGCTAAATGATACCAAAAAATGCTCTTGGCGATCGATATTTATCTATACAGCAACACACAATAATGATACTGTATCAACAGATTTAGTATCCCGATATGTTGACATTTTGATAGTCTTAGTCCTAGTCCGTCTCACCACTGCTTTCTGTATCACCTGTAGTCTGTAGTCTATTGATTTGTCCTCCCTCTCTCTCTCTCATATGGTGTTTCTGATTTGTAACAGTGGTGGGAGAAAAGGAGAAGACCAGTAACACAGTGAATGTCCGCACCCGTGACAACAAGGTGCACGGCGAACGCAGCGTGGAGGAGTGTATTGAGCGACTGAAGCAGCTCAAATCCACCAGAAGTCGGAACGCTGAAGAAGAGTTTTGAATGTGCTCAATTTGTCACCGGTTGTTGTAGGTCTGGTGACTGTATCTGTCCAGAGTCATACGAAATCTGAATGTGGGATGAAGGTAAACTGTATTTTTCCACTGTAATGAACAAATATTATGATGTTTTTGTTGTTTTTACTTTCATAAATGCAGTGCTGTAAAATGCATTGTACATAATCATAATCATGCCACTATGCAACTGCTGGTCTCCATGGAGATGGTATCGCTTTGCGGGTAATGTACCATAGTGTGGAATTTAACCTTTCATCCAGTTACAAGTTACATTACATTGCTAAAAAAAAATCTTGGAGAAAGGTAGTGAAGAGACATTTAATGCTACACTGTGGAACATTCCAGGCAAAGCAATATTACCTCCAGCGAACATGTGGCAGACCCTTGACCACAAAATTACATAGTGAACCTTTTCAAATAAGCCGATTCTCAAATGATAACTGTATCATTTAGAACTTGTCAAAAGCTCAGTACAACAAAGGGAATGGTTTTGGAAGCGTCGTAATCATTTGGTTATCTGTAACACCAGGGAATTGTACATGATTTACAATGGTTGAAAACTAAACTGTTTTTCATGCCAGTACAAAAGTGTTCTTTATTACTCTTTTCAGATTTTGATTCTTGTGGTTTTCTTTCAAATCTTCACTCATTAAAAAGCGTTCCAGTCTTGTTGAATTGAGCATCAAATCTGAAGAAAGAGATGGAAAACTGAACAACTCGCTTCAGATTTATAATGTAATGTTCATTTCTGGCTGCTGAGAGAACACCTGATCTCCTGCTCCTCATCTCGTGCTTAATAGACCAACACTGTTCACTGCTCCACTTCAAACCTGATCCACAAAAATACAACACTTAGAGTTGTATTTCTGCTTGAGTCTACGTCTAATGCTATTCGTGATATTTTCCATAATTACGGCTGTAGACTGTAAATCAGCTGTAAACAGAATGTCCGCCACTAGTGGGCACCATTTCTTTGCCCGAAACAGGAGGGTTCTAGAGGTCTAGACTTTTCTGCAAGTTTCTCAGCTCAGATACAGTAGCCTATTCAATTTCTGAGCGTTAATTATAGGAAGGAACATGTCACACAATTTCAGTACAATAGAAAACCATGAGAGAAAAAATGTACACTTTGTAAAAGTCATAAATCGGTTTAGATTTCACGATGCCTACAGCTTTACATAATAAAAATATAAACAAATTATTAAATTAAAAAGAGTGGTGTATGCCAATTAATAAGCTACATATTCTTTAATTGAGATGTCCTGTTTGTTTCTTGTTTTGTAAGGCTTATGAGTTTATGTGCCGTCCTGTCCTTAACCATCAAAACATTAAGCTTACAAGACAATGGCATTATAATTCTGTTCTTGAGTAGGCCTATTAAAGCTGCACTATGTAACCTGTGTTTTGGTGGGAGGTCCGGCACCTGCTGGGCTCCATAATTTTCCATCTTTTATTTATTAACTTCATCTACATCATTGCGCAAAAATACCTTCATAAACATGCATTCTCCACCAGATGCACCATTAAGTTGTGTGTTTTTAGTGATATTAACTTTTGGCCCAACGTTTATTATTTATCTCTTCAATATTACATACCCTAAATAGGATAATTAGATAAACAAAAGGCGGACCTCTTTGTTTCCATTATGACCAGTAGGTGGAAGAGCTGCCCAGGGATTCTTCAGTTCAGGGGAAACAGGAGGGCTGACGTTGTTAAAATGTGGGAGAGAAAAACATTTTGATAAGGGGTTAATGAAAGAGTCAATGGAGTGAGAGAGCGGCAACAGGCGGAAACCTCGTGGGACCTGCGCGTCTCCGCTCCGCAGCACGTGTGAGTGAATCCCTGTACGTACGCTCCAGCGCAAACCTGCAGACAGAGGTCACAACGCTCCGCTGCCCTCAGCAAAGCCCTCTTCAGCTGGACTGCTGTGCGTGCCTTTTAAGTCAAGTGTGTTCGAGGAACTATTGGGGTCTATTAAAATCACTGTCAGTAGCCCAATTTGAATTTAGATTTCTTGCATTACAAATTTGGCCCAATTTCATCGTCGCAGTTTTATTTTGGTGAGATACTTAAAGGCTGACCAGATTTAAGATTTAGATTTTGACAGACTTTATTGATCCACAAGGGAAATTATTTGGACACAGTAGCTCACTCATCACAATATAAAGTAATATAATAAAAAAGAGTAAAAATATCAATAGTAATTTATTCTAAATAAGTATCAGAAAAGATAGCAAATGACAAGTGTCAAACAAGACATAATTATATAAATGTACAAGTCAAAATAAAATAGAAAAATAAGTAATAACAGGGTTCCCACAGTCATGGAAATCCCGGAAAAGTCATAGAAATCGAAAATGTCATTTTCCAGGCCTGGAAAAGTCATGTAAATACATCATCAAATTCATTATCATTAGGCTATTAAGATTATTTCCAAATGTATGCTCCTTTTGTTTAAAAGAGACTGCAATAAATGCATTGACAGTATTTTGAATGTTAAAAAACTATAATACCAAACCATAAGGTGAGTGGAAAGGGTTAACATTTAATATTTATCTATAAAAGTATGCTCAATTCTACACATGTAGGGTGCCGTAAAGTTATGGAAAATTCACTTTAGGTCATGAAAAAGTAATGGAAAAGTTTTGAAATTTTGTCAGTGAAAAAGATTGAGAACCCTGTAATAAAATATAAAATCTCAGCTTTATACAAGAGGTCATGGGAAAACAGTGCAACAGTGATATGATGATTGACAGGACACAAGGTTATCTGTTGCATAAGGGTGAGTTGTTGTACAGTTGTAGGGAGTATTATCTGTTACAAAAGGGTGTGTTGTTTTATAGTTGTAGGGAGTATTATCTGTTACATAAGGGTGAGTTGTTGTACAGTTGTATGAAGTATGGTATGAATGTAGTCCTGTATGTGTCTGATTGGAGCTGTAGGAGCCTGTTGGAGAATGAGCTCCTCTGTCCCTCTATATAGTCTGGTGCAGTGGGTGAGCAGGAGTGTCCACGATGGAGAGCAGTTTGGCCCTCACTGTGGCAAATGTGACCAGCAACAATATTTAAAAATACTGGGACATCCCTGGTTTGGGTAGGTTGGTAATAATAAAATTGTGAAACAAGTGCGTAATTAAGGAAAATGGTTATGTACTTTGCAGTAATGTGAGTCAGATTAGTCATATTTTCTTTGTGTTTTTTTTGTCATTTTTAAGCAGCTTTTCTGTATTTTACCTAAACAAATGACAATTTATGCCTCTTTTTACTGTTGGCAGGTATCAGACTGGTCAAAAAAAGGGACACCTGGGACATTTGTTGTATAAAAGTGGGATAAATCACTGGTTTTGGATAAATCCACTGGGACTGGAGACACAGGGCTCAAAACTGGAACTGGGTAAATAGGGACCTCTGGTCAGTCTAAATACATAGTTATTAACATTTTGGAAAAACACAGCTGGGTGTATGCAGGTTACGCTGATCCTGAACTTTGTTTTCTTTTATGATGGTCACCTCTGATGACAGCTATTGTGCAGTTCACTATAGGCCTACTGTGGTCAAATTTGCTAGATTGAACCCAATGCAGCCTGCATTTAAAGGGGCTCTTTTCTGGTGGTCACTCCACTCCTTGTCCACATATTGCATTGTCTGAAATATTCCAGAATGGCTTTAAACCTTCAATAACATTCTTACCATGAGTGGGGTCACGTCTCCACAAAGCTTTCTGGTGGTGTCACCTTGTTTCCTTGTTTCCACAGTGATAGACATCTTACTTCCTTACTTTTTTATGTATTTGACATTATTTGTATGTAGTCTACTATGATTGTCGATCTTTGTCTAATACTGAGATGGAAATGCTGGTACCTACTAGTCAGCAAGCAGGCAGGTTTTAAATTATCTTCTGAAAGTCTGGGTTGAAGCCATGCTGGGAACAGCTGTGGTAGGCTAATAGTACATATTGTAGTACTAGAATAACTACAGGCGTTCATTGCTGTGATACAGTATGTGTCAATAGGCCATTCCATTCCCATTTTTTCCCTTTTGTGGTTTGACATTCTTAAGCTGTATTGTTTGTACTGATCCTTTTATTCCCTATTTATTTTCTTAATGTCTTTGTCATACAATAACACATCTGCCCTGCAAATATCTTGAGAATGTAGTAAAATGCAAAGTAGTTAAATCAATAAAGGAATGCATAATTGGCTTTTGACCACCAGGGTTTGATCACACATCATGCAGTAAAAGTTGTTTTTGTCATCATGTGTTTATATTCCCTCACCATGATGACGAGCAGTAGCCACCATCGTTGTTCATGTGAAACATTTTTCCCTCACAGTTCCAGCCAAATACCCCACTCCTCCCTCTGCCTTCTCATCCCAGACTCACACTGTTTCTGAACCAAAGAAATGCATAATATTTGAAAGAGCACCAACCACTTTCTCTTCTGTCCTTTCTACAGCCACCAGCACGCCAACACGACTGCAGCCCCTCCTGGCCCATTACCCCGCACATAACTGCTACCGAACCCCAAATTATGGTGAGCCGCTTGCAAAGTTAGTTTTGCTTGGGAAAACCGAGCTGCCATCTTTAATATCATAATGCTACCAAATTATATGCTTCTAATTGGGAACTGTTTGATCACACGTCTCCGGCATCTGGAAAGCTAGCGTGTGACCTGAGCATGCTTTTTTCTCATCTCCTAAAGTATGACCTTTCTTCTGACCCGGCATAAATTAAGGAAACCACTTTGCACTGAGGGGAGGGCCTCGCCACCAGTCACACCCTACATGTAGCCAACAGTAACATTTGGATACGTTTCACGGGACACGGCGCTGATGTAGGTCTGCAGGATGGGCGAATACAAGACAGCTGCAAGTCAAAAGAACTACAGGGTTCACTATTCTTATATCAAACATCGGAAGCATCTGTAAAATGTGTGTCATGGTTACATCAGCTACCTTTGTAGACATCTTTAGCAATAAACGCAGTAAAAATAATATTTATATATTGGCAATATTATATTTACACTCCAGAATTCAGTCAAAATTTTGAATTGCCAAAAAACTGATTGCAACATTAAATTACATTTAGTGTAAGGTCACAAATTACGCACCATTAGCACTGACTACTTTGGCAGTCCCCCCATTTCATTTTGCCATGAAAAAAGGATTTCTAAAGCCATGCAACTTACTGCACATAAATACTAGATGCACCAAAGAGTTTGTGATAGCGAGGGAGGGACCAGTTAAACAGATTTAAATACCTGCTTGCTTATTTCATGGATGGAAAATCAGGTATACTGGATTTAAATAATAATGGGAGTACATATGGTTCTACACCAAAAATGAACAGGCTTCTTTTTCAGTTTATTGCTGTTCATCATTATTAATCCTCTGAAAATCCTTTACTTATCCAAAATGGATCCTTCTTCTTGTATTGGCACTTTACGAGCTATATCACAGCAGTGCACAGATGTGCAGTTATGAAAGGGTTATAATACTCAACTAAAAGTGTGTAAAGCATTATAAATTTTAATTAGTTGGACCCATGCTTAAAAACAATATGCAAAGATATGCAGATTGCAATAGCAGTCCTGCCAACAACTGTGCGTTCATTTCCAAGTGTGTGGGAGATCCAAGATTTTCCCTGATAAAACACTTTTTCTCCTAAAATTCACTC